TGTGTATCTGGTGCATAGATCATTGTGTACATCTGGTACATAGTTTATCTGTATGTATCTGGTACGTAGTTTATTGTGTGAATCTGGTACATAGTTCATTGTGTACATCTGGTACATAGTTTATTGTGTGTATCTGGCACATACTTTATTGTGTTATCTGGCACATAGTTTATTGTATTTATTTGACACATAGTTCATTGTGTGTATCTGGTACATAGTTAATTGTGTGTATCTGGTACATAGTTCATTGTGTGTATCTGGTACATAGTTCATTGTGTGTATCTGGTACATAGTTCATTGTGTGTATCAGGCACATAGTTTATTGTGTGTATCAGGCACATAGTTTACTGTATGTATCAGGCATATAGTTTATTGTGTTTATCTGATACAGTTTATTGTGTGTATCTGGTATATAGTTTAGTGTGTGTATCTGGTATTTAGTTTATTGTGTGTATCTGATACATAGATTATAGTGTGTATCTGGTGCATAGTTTATTGTGTTTATCTGACACATAGTTTATTGTGTTTATCTGGCACATAGTTTATTGTGTGTATCTGGTACATAGTTTATTGTGTGTATCTGGAACATATTTAATTGTGTGTATCTGGTACATATTTAATTGTGTGTATCTGGCACATAGTTTATTGTGTGTATATGGTACATAGTTTATTGTGTGTTTATGGTACATTGTTTATTGTGTATATCTGGCACATAGTTTATTGTGTTTATCTGGCACATAGTTTATTGTGTGTATCTGGTACATATTTCATTGTGTGTATCTGGCACATAGTTTATTGTGTGTATCTGGTACATAGTTTATTGTGTGTACCTGGTACATAGTTTATTGTGTGTATCTGACACATAGTTTATTGTATGTATCTGGTACATAGTTTATTGTATGTATCTGGTACGTAGTTTAATAAGTGTACCTGGTACATAGTTTATTGTGTGTATCTGACACACAGTTTATTGTGTGTATCTGTTACATAGTTTATTGTATGTATCTGGTACGTAGTTTAATAAGTGTATCTGGTACATAGTTTATTGTGTATATCTGGCACAAAGTTTATTGTGTTTATCTGGCACATAGTTTATTGTGTTTATCTGACACATAGTTTATTGTGTGTATATGGTACATAGTTTATTGTATGTATCTGGTACGTAGTTTAATAAGTGTATCTGGTACATAGTTTATTGTGTATATCTGGCAGAAAGTTTATTGTGTTTATCTGGCACATAGTTTATTGTGTTTATCTGACACATAGTTTATTGTGTGTATCTGGCACATAGTTTATTGTGTGTATCTGGTACATATTTTATTGTGTGTATCTGGTATATTCGACTTGCAATACAAAATTTGAAAAGAAGACGTTCAAGTAATAAAGAAAAAAGTAAAACAGTTGTCAGTCGCAAGATAGAGCTACGGATCCGCAGCTAGACCACTACACCGTACATTGGTGAAAGTTTTCCATATTTATTCGCTGAATGTCCGTTCTTCTACTGTGGGGCCGTCTAATGAATAGAATAGAATAGAATAGAATAGAATAGAATAGAATAGAATAGAATAGAATAATGCTTTATTACATCCTTAATGAAATCTGACATTTCAGTTTTGGTATTGCTGTATTAAAATGATGAAAATCGGAATTTTCAGTTGTAGACTAATTTGGCGAAAATGGCTTGCATTGGTGTAATAGACTATTGAATTCTTACTTTAATTTTAGAAGATCGTCTTGACCAAAGACATACTTTTTTCTACGCCATATATCAAGCAATTAATAAGAAACGCGGAACTGACGAAAAATGTGATGAACCGACAGAGGGCTGCCATGTTGGTTTTTGAGCTCATTCTGTGTGTTTTCAGATCCGTGAACAACTTGTTTCGGCAGTCCGTTATTCGGAGCTGTTTGTTTTTGTTACAGCTCTGTTGTACATTGTGCCACAGCGATTGATTGTTTTATATACTGTTTTTAAATATATTTTAAATTTGTGATAATAGTGGATAACAAAATGTAACTTTTGAACTGAAAACTGTGCCAGAATATCTCAGGCCGAATTCAGAATCAGTATAAATATATGAATATGACGCTACTAGCAAGCACGTTATTAGTATGGCCGCCTGATGTAAACACGTACTTGCCTATGAGTCATAATGTAATTTGCAATCGAATGCACAGTTTTGCTCCTCAGTCAATGCAATGGGTTCCAGAAATTCAAGTAGAGACAACGCCAGTGGTGTGCGTGATGATGAAACTGGTGAAAATGAGCCAGACTTGCCAACGATATTGGCGTATCTGTTACGCAGGTCAGTGTGTATTTGCGTTTTCTTCGACATCGCTCTGTTGTTGATATTTATTTACAATGAAGCTTTGTGGGTGCTTTTGATTATTTTTATTTTTTTTATTTTGTCATTTAACTAGTAACTTCGTGGTAATTGGTTTTCGTATCTGTAGGGTTTCGCGGGGAGTAGGGCTTTGTCTCAGTAACTGGTTCTTTCATCCTTGTTGAGAATTAAAGTTTTATGTTTCTTTAAAACCTGGCACTATTCTGAGAATACCATCCTAGCAGGAGTTCCAAAATAAGACCCATATATTGCTCTGATAATGCCTCTAGTTTCAAAGACCAATAAACATTACCATTATGATCTTATTGGTGTTGCAAAGGATAGTTGAATTTTGTTTATTGAAATTAATAATCCCCATAACCGTTTTCCAATATAGATAAACTGTAGTACGTAACAAACTGTATAACTCAATCTCAACAATGAAATAAAGGAATGTATACATTTACACTATTTATACTTATTTATTATACTTTTATTGTTACTGTACTGATAGAAATACTGTATTTCTAAAGATGCAATAAATATTATTATTATTACTAATGCATTGCAATACAACTAATTCAAATTGAAAGAAATTACAATATAAAGTATTCATCAGTAATACTTCTCAAAGGCCGGAAGTAGGAATTTGTTAGTACTCTAAAAATCATATTGGCGATTCGCTCTGCTAGGATTGCCCTTAAAATTTGTGTGTGTCTGTGTGTGTGATTTCCAGTGTTTTCACGTATTATTTCTTCTGTGATGTTTTTTGGCTTGGCCGATTTCGCTCAAAATTGGCAGGTAGGTCACACCTTCACCCTAGTTATTGGAAAAAATCTTTAAACAAAATTTGGTTCACCATTGCCATAGCAACTGCCAAAAAAAAATGATTTTTGATTAGCTTCGCCCCAAATGTATCTCCTCCTACAAATTCAGGATAAAACACCTCAGGCATAGCTCATTCTACTCAGCTTGAGTGTGGGCACAAAATTACTATTTGAATTTTTGGTATCTTTTTTCATTACCGAGAAATTTGACCCCAAAGTTGGGGTTACAGTTCACCAAGAATTGCTTTTTAACTCTTCTGTGATTTTTTAAGCTTGGCTAATTTTGTTCATACGTGACAGGCAGGTTGTACCGCCTTTAATTGGAATACTTTCACCACAAATTTATTACCTATTAACAGTCTTGTAGTAGCAGTGTTTAAATGGTCATGCTTTTTATTTTGGCTACGTTGCCTGCATACCGGTAAGAGATCACTGGCGCCGATATTGGTACACTGTATCAACGCACTCTCAACGCAACTTTGAATTTTGAATGAACTGTTAATGCTGCCTTCAATCTATCAAATACTATTGCAAAACGGTTTAAAATAACAAATTTAACAACAGAATACGTCCTAGCAATAAAATAAAGTGACTTCTAAAGACTGAGTGTTTTTTTGGCGAACTTCGTATACAGTGCCCAGTGCCAACCGTGGCAACAGCTGAAAACATGTTGCTTGTTTTATTTAGTGGAGTCGATCGCCAACCAGCCTACCGGCTTGTTTTAGTATAAGCTAATAACAACTTGTCAATAATTATGGGATGATTTGTAGGCATAACATTGTTATGTGAACTTCGTTCATTATTGGAATACTGTGTGATGACGCTATTTTCAGAGCCTATTAAACTGATTCAGACTCCTATATTGACTATGTCCCGGGCTGTTTACCAGTACCAACCTACTTACTTGTCAGTGTCTAACTGTTATATACAGCCATGGAGCTAATTTTTAGCTCCATGCTACAGCCCAGAACACGTCAGAATAGTAAAAAAAAGTCAGCTAATGTCAGTTGCCCGTGCCATGAGAGACAGCCACAGAACCAAAACAATCTGTCAGCCTTCGCCGCCCACAGCATCGATATGATTTTATATTGCATAGAAATAAACACTAAATGCTATCGAACCTGAAACAAAAGTTACCATCCGATCTAAACGACCTGAGTCTATGAAAATCGAGTCTTATCTCCTTTGCGTTTCCGATCGACAGAAAGTCGGGGCCAATCTACCATGATTATTTGCTTATCATCAATTCACAAAGATCAAAAACATTTTTAAACGTGAATTTAATGACGAACGTTTTTGAAACGAATCAATGTTCTGGTTATCTCTGGTATGATTGCTGCAGTCTTTGGAACAAACTTGAGGGACTGTAAAACGCAATTTATGGGACGTGACTTAAAAACGCAATTTACACGTGAATTTCCCAACAAAGGTTTAAATGTTTTAGTTGTATGTGGTGTGGCACTAGTGTGGAAAGCTGTCGAATAAAATGGCAACAACCTTCGAATGCTTCTATTGCTGCCTGTGCCACCAGTAACCGATCCGTGTTGATATAATAGAAACCATTCACCACCAGTTGCCAATATTAAAGTACGTCCACACGACCACGATACACCCGTTCACAATCACCAAGCCAACTGAAAATAGCAATACCAATTACATGTGCTAATTAAATTCCTGTCACATGATGAGTATTCATACACAAATACCCACGTCATACGCTGTACAAAGCAAATACAACACTTGGCTTGGTTAGGCTCGACCAAGGGTCGGGCCAATTTAATTTATAAATTTAGCTCGCATTTACATAGTGGAAAACTAGGCTGATTTACCTACAACAGTTATGCTAATTTGATTTCCGGCATGTTAGTTGACAAAGAAATGAAAGATTTCTTGAATTTTCGGCGATAGCTACGTGGATTTGAACCAAAATGTTATCGGCAAGAATGCGACAGTGACAGCCACTGAAATTGAAGGCAAATGAACACGCCAAGCAAAAAAGACTTTTTCCAGTCGTAGCGTAAAATGAAGGCACATACCATTTTGACTTTTGAGGGGAATGGAAATCAGTTGATTTGAGGGTGTCACAATAAGCGAGGGAGTAAATCGTTCTTAAGCTACGAAAAAAATGAAGACCTTGAACGTACTTTTTTGACTTTAGTACAACGTCATTTTTGTTTGATTACCTAACGTTTTTAGGTTCATGTGCTGTAAGTTACAGAGCACATACCTAAGCGGCCGTCCCTCAGCAAATAATGAAGCAAAGCCATTTTCGAAACTCTTCCTTTTTACGCAAACTGGGAAGTTCGAATTACTAAACGAAGTACAGAACGACGAAGCTTAGAATCCAAAAATTATATCTCAAAAGTGAATATTCATGGTGTATTTTAAGTCTAACCGGACCATAAGTTGGAATTCGTTAGTGCTCTAAGTATCCAAATATATTTTAGTATAAGGTAGTAATTATTTCAAACGAAGTAGCAATCCGTATTAACAAAATAACCACGGTCCTTCAAGTACCGTTTGATGATGCTGTCTGGTAAAAACATACTAGGACGTGTATGCAGATAAGACACATCCCCCTATCCATAGAGCTCTATGCTATTTTATCTATGGATAAAGTTATTATGGATAAGGGCATGCAACTTTTATTTATTTATTCAGAAACACTTGCATTCCATAGAGAAAAAGGAAAAAATAACAATCAGGAAAGATAAAAAGAACAAGCATTCACATAAGGATAAGGAAATTCACTGAATTAACTTATTTCAGGACTTAATAACGAGTTCTTTTTATTGAACTGTGCCACTTGAATGCACATATGTTCACCACTGAGTATCAACTTTTTGTCCAATTGCTGTCAAAATGACATTCCATTAGAAAATGAAATTCATGCTCAATTTGATCTTGGTTGCAAGTTCTATCTTTTAAAAGGATTTTAAAAGATTCTCCCTACTTAAATGTTAAGACAGAAAAAATTAAACAAAACTTTGAAAGTGTATGACGGATCTCATAGTATTTTTTAGCTCAAATACATGTAGGTAGCTTTCTAATTTAATATTGCATTTAAACTTCCTATATGTTCAGTATTTGTTTGAGTGGAATCTGTGCAATTATCATTGTTGATTTTTTGTCACCACTTGTTTATAAACAGTTGTTCAAAATGTTCATTAATTTGATAAATTTTAGTGTCCATCTCTTCTCCCATTTTATTTAGCTGCTTTTGGCAGATACTTTCAATACTGTTCATATTTTTATTGACACACACTGCTTTGTGTATTAGACTGTCCGATGTGTTTGAAATTCTATTAAATCACTGTTTCTTATCAAAAACCAATGGAGTATTATAAGCAGTTGACAAAACTGTTCCCTTCATTTTTAGCTCCGCTGTCATTGAAGATAACTGAGCTTAGCTCATGGGTTGACTGGATCTGTCGTCATCTGTCTGTTGTACATAGTGCATTGTCTGTACCAAAATTCATAAATGATTATAAAAATTAAGAGAATAGGTTTGTTGTGTCTATACATGTACATACATTTTTGGCGCACTTTATTTATTCAAATTGGGAGCTGTGCTTACATAGTCATTAAATAGTCTTAAAATAAAATAAGCTATGAAAAAAACACTAGCAATATTTTCTTCACTGCATTGTTTTAAATACAGTGGTCAGCTTCGACTTCTACAGTCAGATGATGTCATGGATAGCGACTCGGATATGACGGATGAGGACGAAGATCTAGCTGATATAATAGATCGTCCACCATGTTCTGCCCCGAAAACAGGTATGGTGCACATCATACACAAACTACAAACTGAAGCACTTGCAACTTGCACAAACAAACAAAAAAAGTCAGGAGAACTGTTGCCGGGCACAAAAAAATACACAAGCTACAATTTTGAAATTTTTACAATCACAAACCCCATTTGTTTCTAACTCCATGCACATTAAGGTAGAGATGCAGTTTACCTGTCAGGTATTTTAATTAGTTAATTAAGAAACCAAGATTACCTTCCTTGTCCACAAAACTATATATTTTCGGAAAGCTTATTGTATGAATTTTAAAATTTTGTTTTTTATGGACACTGTAGTTTGAAATATGCACAAAATGTGCTTTTTTGGTCAAAAGTGATTTAAAAAAAATTAGCTTCTAAACCATGCTTCTGTTTCCTGTCAAATTTGGTTTATGGGTACATCTGTTTACTATAAAGAAAGTGCCGTCTTGAAAACTTTCTACCAGTTGTCATTTTTGCAGGGCGGCAGCTCAAATTTCACTACTTCAAGTTTATGCATAAATTAACACCCAGGCTAGTCGTCTGTACGATTGTTGTAACACTGTTCAACCAAAAACAATGCCCCAACGGCGTTTTGAAGATGAACACATTGTCAATCATTTGTACAAATTTCAAAACAAAAGGTTAAACCGTCTAGGAGCTATTTCTTTTTAAAGTTCTAGGATGTGCACTAAAAAGAAGCTGAGATAATTGCTAATTTGCATAACAATTCACTCAGTAAGAAGTTTGCTAATGCTCATAATAAAAATGGCTGTAACAATTCCAAATTTAAATGTATTATCGTTTTGTTAAAAGTTAAATATAGTGTGTATCCCGTCATTTCTTTTTTTCACCATGTTTCTTTTTTATTATTTATGTACAGCCTTGCTAAATCTTGCTAAACATTCAAAAGAGAGAATGTTTGCACCTGTTATCTATATTTTAAAATCGTTTTTTTGTACAAAATGTTAACAGTCTATAGCCAAGACTGGATAATACAAAGCAAAAAAAAAAAAATTTCACTCTCAAGAGCCCACGAACCTGCATCTCTACCTTAAATTCTGTGTGCATAATTGCCAATTTTTATGGAATTTGTACAGTGTTTCACGTAATCTTCCATTTTCGTTGTCCAATGTACATTTTGAATTGCGACAATGTGTTTAATTCAAATACAGGACAATTATCATAGTAAACATAAAACAAAGTGTTTTGTTTCAATTTTTATGGTATTTTCGAAAGGTATAATTCTTATTGTGATTTCGACATATGCAAATATGAATGAACTATTGTTATAAAAAAAACTAAGATAATCCTCCTACTATCCATTTTAATAATTATCAGTTTTAATGCTTGGCGTCTCCTAATACCACACATAAAAACTTTCAGGTGATGATTACACAATGAAATACTGTAGAGAAGGAAATGTTCACTGGGTGTATTATTAACAGTTTTTATATTCAGAGATAGTGACCACATTTTAAATTTACAAATTTCTGAAGCAGAAATACATTCTATTATCAATTTTGCCTGTTCACTGCAATTTTCATTTAGTGCATTCAGCTATAAGCGTAAATAAAACCCTGCGAATACTTAATCTCTATACAGTAACATGCCTTGTTAATATATCTTTAATTTGGAATATTTCAGCTGCAGACTTAATTGCTGACAGGCAAAAGATTGAGGTAAGTATAACAAAATTTATTAGCTCCGCTGTCGACTTTGTCGAGCGGAGCTTATCATATGAGTGATTGTCCGTCGTCGTCGTCGTCGTTCGTCGTTGTCCGTGTCAATGTTTTACTTTTTCGACTTCTTCTTGAAAACTACAAGCCTGAATGCTTTGATACTTGGTGTATATGTACCTTGGGTAGACCTCTCTTAGGTTTGTTCATTTCATGTTGATATCTTCAATTCTCTAATTTTGGTGAATATTTTTGTCATTTTTGGTAAAAAGTGATATTTTCGACTTCTTGTTAAAAACCGCAAGT